AACAGTTTAGAACTATGTGATTTTCAGAAGTAGATCCAGAAAGGAGAAATTTCCTGACAAGTACAGAGGCAGTAGTACTAGAAAGGGAAAACAAAGTCTCACAAGAAAAGGAATTCCACAGAGTTTTCCAAGCCCTGGAATTTTATTGTAGCTGGGACACCTGAGTTCCTCTACCTTAACCTTCTGATTTCACAACTGACAAAACCAAAAATACTGAGAGGCAAAGTCACACAGAAGACCCTAGTTCATTCCAATTCCTCGCAAGCCTTAACTTCTTACCCATATGATATGAGGCTAAGGCATTATGGAAAACTAAGAAATATCGTCCCCTTTGTGTTTCCACAGGTGAAAGGGGCAAGTTCCTAATAATGTCATGACTAACACGTTCAAAGGATTGTTACACGTATTATAAGTTATTTTAAATATACTAATATTAGTTTTTAACATAATTTTATAATTTTCTAGGATTTTATAATTACTAGTAAAATCCTGTAACTCCAATATACTATGGCTTATACTTGGTTGTTTGTGAGTCTATTCACTAAGCATACAGTTTCTGAGAAAGTAAGTTCCAAGTCTGTGACAGTTAAACCAGCGTAAACTTCAGTGTAAATTCACTGAATTGAGAAGCCCCCTAGGAGACAAACCTCTGGTTGTTTCCAGAGATGTGCAGCTCAAGAGGGAAGACCCACCCTGAATGTTGCTGACCCACCCTGAATGTTGCTGACTCCTTTCCATGTGCTCGGATCTGCCTGAATAAAAAGGAGAAACTGAGGGAACACCAGCATTCATCTCTCTGATCCCTGACAGCAGATATGTGACAGGTTGCCTTGCAGTCCTGCCAACATGCTTTCCCCCATGATGGACAGTATCCATCCTCAAACTATAAGCCAAAATAAGCCCTTCCTTCTTTAAGTTGCTTTTATTGGGTATAATATCACAGTAATGAGAAAAGGAGCTAATACAAAGTCCTAAAGCATGCTATAAAACTTAAACTATAATAAATCAAATCTAAGTTAGGACTGGGAAAGATTCAAAATTAAGAGGTGAGGTTGTAGCTCAGAAATAAGAGTACTTGGCAAAATACATGAGGACCCTGGGTTTTATCCCCAGCACTGAAAAGAATAAAAGAGGGAGAGAGAGAAATTCAAAATTGTAAGCCACACGCAGTAAATAAAAACATAAGGTCCTTAATTTTATGAAAAGTCCTACCTTCAGATCATTTATTTTTAAAGCCTGTTATATAGAAAAGCACAAGATTTCATTTACACAGGTCTTTTTATTAAAATGTCACTGGGAAAACTTAAGTCAAAAAGAAAGTCATTTCTATACATAATTTAGGAAATGAAAATGAAAATGTGTATTTTCACATAGTACACTACAAGGATAAGAAGAAAAACACTGACATCATTTCATTTAGACTTCTAGCATATACATTATTCAGTATTTAGTGCTAGCTTAATAATAAGTGGGTAAAAGGATTTTAGAGGAGGTTACAAAGACTCTCCAAATGCCTTTCTCTTCTTCAGAGGTAAAACTGTTTTACCATTTAAAATGTTTTCTAAATTTTGCACAATGTTCATTCTGCACATTAATTCTTTATTCACTCATTTTATTTAATACGGAAGATAAATCCCTTATTATTTGCTAAACACTCTGTTAGCACATTTAGATTTATGACAATAAGTCACAGGTTAGCTCCTGTCCTCAGAGAGATAAAAGAAAAACAAAACAAAACAGATCTTCTTTACCCAATGATAAAAACAACTATATTTTAGCCCATATTTAAGAAAACATGATAAAATGTAATCAAATGAATTCTCAAAAAAACACTTATACAAAGAATGAACTGTAATTGTAAATATACTTTTAGAGACTTTTCATCTATGAGTTTCTCCCAGAAAGTGAAAGTCTAGTGTTTGTGGAGTCTGTAATGACACAGTCTTTCAATAGTTTTTGCTATGAAAATGAATGAGTTAATCTCTCATAAGGAAACCAAATGTACTACTATTAAAATGAAAAAGGAGCACTTTAAAAAGTATCTTACTCTTAAAATTAAACAAAAAAAAATACAGTATTACAAAATACTAATGCGCGGTCTCTCGATATTTTAGAATAGTCACAAACCTGAATAAGGAACCTCCTTTTCACACTTTAAAAGGAAACACAATTACAAATTTTGGATTGTTATCTTCAACTTTTTTCATTAAATGTCCACTTCCTGGACATTTTTTCACAAACTTAATTCAATATTCTGTTTATTATCAATTTTTCATCAGTATTAACAATTTATACTAATTATATGTACGCATTAAGTCTATAATTAACTCTTGATATGAGAAATTCTTCAATTTAAAACCAACTCTCCAAAGTGAAGTCAAATCTGATCAGCCATTCTAATGTGCCACAGAAAAGCAAGCTAAACCATTTTCATGATTCATCAACTAAAATACTTACAATTAATTTAAAAGTACTATGAGAACATCTTTACTGAATTCACGAATATAATCTTGTAGAGTAAATGAGTATTGTTTCTATTTATATGTAAGGAAGTTAAGGCACAAAGGTGTCCATTTTGCAAATTGCAAGGTCATTTCCTAACAGAACTGATTGTACACCATCAACTTGTTTGCCACTTTCAAGTGCCATTGAACAATTACTGCACCCTCAAAATGCGTCTGCAATGTCTATGTGCTTTCATCAAAAGGGTTAACAAAACAAGCTTAAACATGGAAGATGGGAAGGATTACAAAAAGAAAAAATGGGTATTTTTGGTAGTTAACCATTTATTCTAAAATAACAAATGGTTTTTTACATAAGTAACCAACGGTTGTTTATGTTTTCAAAAACATATTTCATCTATCTATTTTGTAGATCATACAAAACTGGAATCTACTTGTTCTTATAGATAAAAGTTAGAAAAATAAGGGAAAAAAATCTTCTATCAAGCCATTAAATATATTGTAAAAAGAGCTAAGAGAAAAGTAAAATTCAAGTAAGTTAGGGGGTTAAAGATTCCATCTGTACATATTAAGTCCTTACATCCAAATGAAGACTATGATTAATAATCAAATATTCTGCAAATCAAAAATACAAAACTTTTCTTACACAAAACTTGAGATTTCTATCGTCTTTTTATTCAAATATTCAAAATAAATAAAAAATATTTTTCCTAACAGAAACTTAGACCATAAGGTATAAAATGCTCTGAGAATCCGAGCTGATTGCGTTCGAAATTGTTATAGTGCCATCAACAATTAGAAAAATTTATTAAACTTACAAACATTAATGGATTGAATCACTAATAAATCAATTACATCAACTACTGAACAGAAACAATACTTAGCTAGTCTGTGAATATAACATCAAGAAAAAAAATAGACTCTAAGGCACACCGTGTATAGAAAAGGATTAGAACAGGCCGTATTAAAATACTATTCTAGGCTAGGGATTAATCAATTAGTCGGTTACAGGGCAGGTTGGGAATGTTCAGAACGGATGAGCTTTCTTTTCAGAATTATTCTAGCTCATCACCCGCAAGTGTAAGAGACGGTGTCAGAGTACCGAAGCTAGGGGGCATGCTATAGCAAGGGGAAAAGAAAAATGGGAAAGGTGCAATGGATGCTGCATAGTTGAATAATTATCTGGGTGGCACAATGGGCGAGTCCGGCCGACATCAGAGCGGAGTGAGCGTCTCCCTAACTCCAGCGGAGGCACCTCCCCATTCCGAGCCGTCAGCGGAGCCGGCAACCGCTTCGCCCTCTCTTCCGAACGAATTAAAAAGGATGCCAGCACTCGCTTTTCCGTGTCTGTGCACACAGACTCGCGGCGCAAACGCGCAAAAGCCAGGGTTAGCTTTTCCGAGCCGGGGGGCACGTAGGGCGACCGGGGCTTCGCGGCCGAGGGCTGCAGGCTCCCCGGCCCGGTAACGCGGGCAGGAGCCGGTACACCGCACAGCCCCGCACAGCCCCACAGGTGAGAACTACAGCCGCTCCGCCAGCGCAGCCACGGGCCGGTCCCCGCCACCAAGCCCCGCGTCGCCAGCGCCCGGCCCGAGCGGCTGGTGGGCGGCGGGATGGGGGCGGGGGCGGCGCGCCCATGCATCCCCGCAACCTCTGCGGACCGGCGCTCACCCACGCCCCTCTCCGCTCCGGCCACGAACAAGAGTTCCTTCCCCGACTGCGGCGAAAATAAGAAACAAAATCCTGGGAGACCCGCGCTCACCGGGAAACCGTGGGGGGCTCTCGCCTTACCCCTTCTTCATGCTTCGGCGGCGGCCGCCGGTCCCGCTCGGCTCCGGGACCCCACCGAGAGCCCTCAGAGAACGTCGGTCTCTAGGGTGGCAGCTGCTTCGGGTAGTGGCGGGGGGGGCGGGCCGCCGGAGGCGCCGGACCGCCGTGAATGCCGCCGGGGGCGCCCACCGGTCGCCGAGCCGCGGTGCGCGCGATGCGCGAGCGAACAACACCGCGAGCCGCCGCTGCCCTCCGCCCGCCCCCTCCGCGCGCGACGCTCCACAACCGGGCACGGGGATCCGCGCCAGCTGCAGGGGGAGCCGCGGGGCTCCCTCAGCCTCACCTCACAGTCTTCCCGCCTGGGAGCTACTCCTGGCCGTCCGTAGGTCTCCCCCTAAGATTTTCACTCTCCCCTTGAGCCCCGCGGGGCCCAGGGGCAGCGTCGGGGGAGCCTCAGCCTCCGCCCACTCAGCCCTCCGCAGGCGTGAGGACCGCTCTTCCCCCTGTCCCGAGGCTCTGTGGTATTACCCAATCCTCAGTTTGGGGGAGGGGGATGGAGAGAACGGTGCTGGGCTAGGGAATGAGGGAAGATGATAGCCAATTGAATGAACCATCCATTCGGGGCGGGGTCGAAGGCACACCCGCCCGCCTGGCTCCGCCCTCTCGCTCTAAACTACATTTCCCATCATGCCTCTCGCGCCTCCCACCGCCCTGCACGCCGGGAGTGGAGGACCTCGAGGCCTCAAAGGTATTTCAGAACTCCTTTAATCCACTAGGTCTTAGAAGTTACAAGCTATTATAATCCCTGTGCTTTCCTAGATAAATGTTCACAAATATCAACTTTGTCGCAGTTATTGTAATAATCAATAAGGTTTTTTGCAAGAAGTTAAAAATGATTTTTTGCCAACGGAGGTAAATAATGTGTTCTATGACAATCTGTCAGGACCTGGCAGCTGCTGCTTCTTCCGCCCTGGTCTGGCCTCAGCCTAGAGGATCTGTTGCCGTCATGTCTGCTGCGATTGCAGCTCTAGCTGCTTCCTATGGTTCGGGTTCGGGGTCCGAATCGGATTCGGACAGCGAGGGCAGTCGGTGTCCGCTGCCAGCCGCCGACTCCCTCATGCACTTGACCAAATCGCCTTCGGCCAAACCCTCACTGACAGTAGCGGTGGACTCGGCTCCGGAGGTAGCAGTTAAGGTAAGTGTTTTAACCACTGATGGTTGACTGGCTCCAAAACCGCCAGTCTCCTGTTAGGTCCCGGGTTAGCTCAATGATAATTTGCCGGCGCTACATCTCTTCTTCCTCGGCATGTCTTTCTTCCACCCTAGAAGCCGACAATTGGAAGTATGGGGCAGCCCTCCACTTCTCCAGCGTATCTCCATTGGTTTAAAAAAAAGTTGTCGAAGAGGGGGTAAATTTTGAATTTGCTGACGAGGACGTAGCCCTGCTAAAGCAGGTGTAAGTTTAGAGCACGAATAAAACTAAATCAGGACCTCGCAACTAGAGTACGTTCCCTCTCTCAAGTGAGTAATGGCCAGGCACTGTTTTGTTTTTGAGGAACCGGTCTCTATCCTGACTCCACCACTTGTGTGAACCTGGACAAACTACACAACTCCCTCTGTCCCTCTCCGGTACAACGGAGATACTTTTTAAAGCATTTATCTGTGTTAGATTATTGTAAAGATTACATGAAATTATACAATAAAAGTTTAAACACAGAGCCTGATGTTTACTGGCAAGGCAATAAATGTTAGCTATTGTGGATATATATATATATTATATATATATAATATATATATATAGTGAGTGGAAAGGGGGCATTAGTTTAGGAAACTGCATGCAGGATCCCAGGGAAGGAAGGCGATAAAGGGAAAAATTAGGCTACATAGTTCTTTATTGCACATGTGTTATTTGCCAGTAACTGCCACTATCTTAAGCGCTGAAGCCACGGAGGCGAAGAAGCCAGAACATCTTTGCTGTCATGGTGCATACTAAAATCATTCCAGTGGAAGAGGCAGTCAGTTAAATGTGAGCAAATAAAGTATTTACAGACTGGATTCTGACGGGAAAAAGTAAGAGTACCATAATAGAGAATAAGATACACAAGTGTGATTTTGATAAGTTGTCTGGCAAGTCCTTTCTGAGAAAAAGGTCAGTTCAAAGAATGAGAAGCCATGTAAGCTAAAGCAAGAGTTTCCAAGCTTAGGTGACTGGAAAGACAGAGACCTTAGTGTGTCTGGGCTGGTGTGTCTTGAGCCCATTGAGAGCATGCACAATTGGTAGTAGAGCCCTAGGTGGGTGAGAAGCTTGGGTGTGGAGGAGGAAAATGTATACAAAACTTCCTTCTTAAAGAAGTTCTTAAGTCTTGTTTATGTGTATTTTACAGGTTTTTGTGAGCCGTTTTACTTTTTCATAAGGATATCTGGCATGACAGAATGCTGGGAATTCTATCTTTAGAGCAAAACAAAACCCTTCCAACTTAGGACCTTGCAGCAACCTCCTCAGTCTGATCTTTTCACAACTCACCTTTTGGTGCTGTGCTCTCATCATTTTCCCCCAGCCCACTACACTCACCTTAGCCTCTTGGTTAACTACTTTACCAGAATGATATCCTTCCAGTTGTCATGTTCTGCCGTCTGACTTGAATCTCGGCATCAAATAACACTTTTAATTTCTCTCTCTCAAAACATTTTCTCCCTGAGACTTCCATGAGGACTGCTCTCAGCCTTTGGGTTCCCTGATCTGCTTTCCCTTCGGCAATAGTGTCTCCTTGCTCTCTGTCCTTATTTCTCACTGCAGCTCCACATAGTCTCCCATACCTTCAAGCACAATATGTGCTTTTGATTACTCACAGGTGACCATTGTGAAGAGGTTAACATAGGCTTGGATCAAGATTCCTAGCTCCAGAACTGACCCACAGGATAACCTTGGATAAGTGACAAGTGCTCTGAGTCAGTTCTTATTCATCTTTTAGTTTCCATCTCATGGAGCTGTAAGAGTTGTCATAAACCAATTTTCCAGAATGTAAAGCAATTTTTAACTGTATCAAACACATAAGAGATAATGACCAAATGCCAGCCATCCTTGTAATTTCTAGTCCTTGACTTCTTGTCAGCTTAAGACCTAGTTTAAAAAAAAAAATCTCTTCCAGGTTGGCTCTCGGGCCCCTTTGGTGTACTAAAAACTTAAACTTCTTTCCCTCAAAATGCACTTTTTTCCCCCATTTTAATCAATGTCCCTCACATTACACCTGTCAGTCCAAGCTACAAGCATAAGGATGATCCATTTCTGGTTCATTAGTTTTTCTCAATTCCTTCCTTTTTGTTTTCATTGGCACAGCCTTCGTAGGATCCTTCTTTCTCCCAGGACTTTTTTTTTTAATTTTTAAAAATATTTTATTTAATGTATATGAATGTATTGCTTGCATGTATGTAGGTGTACCCATGTCATGCAATACCCTTGGAGATCAGCAGAGGGCATCAGATCGCCTGGAACTGGAGTTATAGACTTAGCTGCCATGTGGTGCTGGGAACCAACCTGGGTCCTCCGCAAGAGCAGCCAGTACGCTTAACTGCTGAGCCATCTCTCCAGCCCTAGGAATTATTCTTGGCTTTGTCTCTTAGCCTTTGCTTTTGAGTGGTGTGTCCTGCCCCAGTGTCACTGGCTAGTGTTTACCAGTCTCTCTGCTCTTCTGCTGCCACTGTGGTTCAGATTCTCATCATTTCTTCTAAGATCAAGTATAACCTTCCAACTAGTCTTTTTTGTTTCCTAGTTCCATTCCCCCTTCTTTCCTTCACAGTGTTCTTAGAATATTCCTTAGAAATTCACATGTCATCATGTCACTTCCCTGTCCAAAGACATCATGTGTCTATCAGATAACTTCTAAATTCAATATACAGCTTGTCAAGTCTACCATTCTCTCCTACTGAATTCTCTACAAAGCACCACAGTTTTCTTCTCACGATTTTGCATGCACTAGTCTGCCTGGAAATCCCTTGCCTTCCTCATATGTCCCTGTCTCTGGTCCTTTAGTCTCAGTGCACCTGTTTCTTCCTGTATCTAACTGAGCCCCTTTTTCATATCTCAGTGGCATGGCATCATTTAACATATTTCTGAGATTTGTTAAGGTTTTACCTGGACTGTGAGATTCTGGGCCCCAGAGAATGTTGTAGTTTTTTCTTTGTGTCTCCAAAGCCTGATGTACAAGACTGAGGGAAATTTGGTAATAAGAGACTTGATAAAGTAAGTACATTGAGAATCTGAGGTTTAGAATTGAGCTGGTAGCAGCGGGGAGGGAACTGTCTCTAGAGCTTGCTTAGTTCAGTCACTAAGTAATTAATTCAGTAGGTAAAGAAATCCAGGAGGAACAGCTCTCTAAGGTACCAGAAGTTCATTCAGAGCAGAACTGGGGCTAGATCCCTAGTGATCTGGATTCTGTCATAAGAGATGAGCAATGTGCACTAACATATGCTTTTATGAAGGGAAGAAGAAAAGTTTATACATGTAAATGATGTAAATGTAATTGCAAAGATTGAAAAATGATTAAGGAAGGAGATAGGAAGCATGTGAATACATTTTTCTATATTTTACTAATTTCATTATGAGTGGTAGTATTTGGACCAAAAGGCATGTATGCAGTGTTTTATTTCATTTCTATTTAACTTTATTGTGAGGGTGTGGGAGAGACTGTGTGTGTGCCACAGTGCATGTATAGAGGTCAGAGAACAACTTACTCCCTAGCTCTCTGGCCAGCCCAGTTGGGCCAAATCAGTGAGTACCAGGTTCAGTGAGAGATCCTGTCTCAGAAAATAAGGTGAAGGGTGATTAAGGAAGACACACCACCACTCCACATAGACCTCTGGCCTACACACACACACACACACACACACACACACACACACACACACACATATCCATGTGTACTACAGACATATGCACATATGCACTCCAGACACAGGCATGTACACACACACACACACGTAAACATTATTTTTTTTTAAACTGACATATATTAAACTAGGACTTGACAGATTTTGATAAAGGGCCAGATGATGTTACTGGTGACATATAATCTCTGTCACTTTTTTGATTCTTTTCTTTTTGGGAGTGGGGCACAGTTGAGACAGGGTCTTACTGTGCAGTTCTGGCTGGCCTGGAACTCTTTATGTAGACCAGGCTTGACTTCAACTCACAGAAATCTACCTGCCTCTGCCTCCTGAGTTGCAGGATTAAAGGCATGCACCACCACACCCTGCTTTCCTTTTTAAATCAACACTAAAACTGTAAATGCCATTGTTCAGTTGTTAGTACAAAAAACAGTCTGTGGATGAGATTTAGCCCATATACTATAGTTTGGTAGCCCCAGTGCTAGACCACAAAATAAAGCTCAGTCACTTAGGCCACGTATTACAACATTCTCTAACCATGGTGCATCTACACTAAGAACTAGGTATAAAAAGATAGAATTCCTATATTTGAAAATTAGGAACTTGCCTATGAGCCAAAGAAATGAAATCATGACAAAATAGTTTGGGTGTTGTTTGTTTGAAGATGGGATCTCATGTATCCCAGATTGGCCTGGAACTCTCTATGCTATGGAGCTGAGGAGGACCTTGAACTTCTGATTCCCAAGTGCTGAGATTATAGTTGTATGCCAACATTCCTGGTTTAGGTGGGGCTAGGGATCCATATCAGGGCTTTCTGTACACTAAGCAAGCACTCTGCCAACTGAGCTACAGTCCCAACCATAGCAAACAAATTTTTTGGACTGAACAATAGAGAAAATAATTCTTAATAAATCTGTGAGGTGCAGCCATCTTTGTATTTTTTTAAGTATTTTATACATAATAAGTCTAAAATGTATTGTTACAGATAGAAGGCAGAAAGTATGTTAGGTACCCATTCTATTTTTTTTTTTTTTTTTGAAACAGGGTCTCTGTTGTAGCTAGAAATGACCTGAAACTCTATGTAGACCAGGCTGGCCTCACAAGAGACCCGGCCTCACAAGAGACCCACCTGCCTCTGCCTCCCAAGTGTGGGATACTATATCTGACTAGTCATTCTATTCTTTATCTGTCATCATTTATAAATTATACAGTTTCTGATAAAGTGGTTATCTTCAAAATTACATGTCTGAATTAGTCAATACTTGTACCTTCTAAACAATACAAGAAATACTTCAATTTTACTTACATTTT